TCAGAAGTGAAGGAGAACTCGAGAATGGGCCTGTGTTGAAGCCCAGTAGAGCAGTTGACTGGGACCCAACAACGTCACCCAGTCCCTTGGACGATGATGAAGCAAGTCTGTGACCGAACAGTGCTGCATAAGGAGCATTCTCGTGCAACGCTTTGATCGTCCCTTCTTGTCGGCACGCACAACTCATGGTGCTCGAAAGAGAGGTAGGCTGGAAGTTGAGGACATATTTTTGGATATTTGGACGCAAGCCACCGATAAACAAGCTCATCGCAAACTCCTCAGGAATGTTGACTTCAGAGAGCAATTCATCAAATTTCTACTCGTATTCAAGGACGGTACCGTCAAGTTGTTGCAATTTTTTAAGGGCAATTGTCGGACTCTCCTCCTAGGCATCAGCAAATTTCAGTTCCATCTGACGAAAATATTTTGACCAACTAACGTCAGAAAAAGCTTGGTGACGCATGAAAGTTTGGTGCCAACGGAGGGCATGTCCCTCCAAGTGGATACTCAATATACGAATACGTTGGTCCTGCGGAGTGTTGTCGACGTCAAAAAACTGAAGGACACGGTAAGCCCAACCTCGAAAATCAGAGCCGTCAAACCGAGGAAATTCAATGCGGCTCTGTTTAGTGGGAACGGAGTAAGTTGGAGAAGAATGGGAAACCTCCGCGAAAGACCCAAAGGCCGAAAAGCAAGGAGTCACAGATGAGGTGCCCCCCTTCCGCGCACTTCCCATGATCGGTCGATAGAGCAGAAACCTTCGCGACAAGGTCCTTGAAGTATTCTTCAAACTTAGCAGCAGACGATTTCAGTGAAGTTATATCCTGGCATTGTTGATCTAATCAATTGTTCACCGAGGCAATCGCATCTTGCTGAAGCTCCAGCTGATGCTCCAGTTCGCCCAGGTGCCCATTGGATCGCGTCTCCGGAGCCATTACCAGAGAGGAGGCTCTGATACCTTTGATATGAGTGGAGAAGAGAAATTCTAGAATTCATTCAACAAAAGGCAAAGAGACGGTCATACAGTCCATATACCTCCCTCTAGGCACGTCCTGCCATACTCTCTCTCTCTCTTCCTGTAACTAACTCTATGATGTATTACTAATATACCCTCTCCCAGAATCAGGCAAAACAGTAAATACTTAACAGAATATGCAATACTATAAAATAACATGTATCACACACCAACTTGAACAGAAAAGCAAGAATAAAATTTAGAGGAGATGGGCACGGACAGTCAACAGGAACTGGAAGAAAATGGAGGGGAAGGGATGGATGTGAGGAGAGAAGAAGAGGGGGACAACTGGTGGTGGGTTGGAATATGAAAAACCAGAAGGGGAGGGAGAGAGAGCCAGGGGATGAAATGAGGGACAATGGCAATGGAATGAAGAGGATAGAGAGGTTAAAGTGGGTTAAGGGGAAAAGACAAAAATGGTTTATTAGAATAGGAATAGGCAAGGCAGAACGGAGGGCAAAATAGTAAAATCACATGAAAAATTAAGGGCAAAAAGGGTAAGAGGTGTGCAAGATCTTGCTTCGTCATGACGAACAGGAATCCGTGCCGTGATGATGCATGCCTGAGAGGAAAAGGACCAAAAAACAGCAAGCTTCGCCATAGTGAACAGAAGTTATTGCTGCAGCACAATGTACCCCAGAGGAAATCCTTCTAAGACTGATGGATGTCACCGCAACGAACATACATTTATGCCGTAGTGAAGTGGTCCTGGGAGGATTCCTCTTGAAAACAAGGGGACGTTACCACGGCATACCAAAATGTATGCCACGACAAAAGGGTCCTAAGACTCAAGAGAAAACAGGAAAAGGATCCAAAACAAGAGAAAAAACAAAGAACCACACAAAATCAAAAGACAAGCTGGATACTTAAGCAACCTTGAAATGCAAAAAGAAAAACTGGAAGGTAAGCATTAAGCATAACAACTACAAGGGGTGTGTTTAAACTACTGCAAAAATCAAAGAAAGCCACCAAACCACTGAAGAGGTCCCTCCCCCACACTTGCAGCAAACAGTCACATGCAAAAAATCATTTCACCGGCAAAAAAACATCTGAAAAGTAAAGTGTGAAGGGAACAGGACAACCTAGCCTCAAGGTGCTTATGGTCTTAATGATAGAGCTTAAGCAAGTGGCCATTCACTTTGAGCATTCTTCCAATGGCTTCCTCTAGCAGTTCCACCACACCAAAGTCATGAACTCTTGTAACAAGGTATGGACCGTCCTAGGTTATATTAAGCTTCCCAGGTTTGAATTTGAATCTTGCCTGGAAGAGTAAAACCTTGTCTCCCACTTTGAAGTGCTTCCAAAGGGTGTTTTTATCATGGAATGTCTTGGTCTGTTATTTGTAGATTTTTGAGTTTTGATAGGACTCTAGACTCATTTCCTCAAGTTTTTGCAACTGTAGGAGGTGCTCCAAACCAGCTTCTTCCATGTCCATGTTGCAAGTCTTCATCGCCCAATAAGCTTTATGTTCCAAGCTGACCAGAAGATGGCACGCCTTACATAAACGAGTTGGTAAGGGGATATGCCAGTAGGTGTTTTTGAGGTAGTCTGGTAAGCCCACAATGCATCATTCAACCAGAGACTCCAATCTTTGCAGCTTGGTTTCACTATCTTCTCCAACATTTGCTTGATTTGGCAGTTAGATACTTCTGCTTGGACATTTGTCTGAGGTTAATATGGGGTGGAAGTCTTATGGGTGACACCATAATTGGCAAACAAGTTAGAAATAACCTTATTGCAGAAATGGATACCCATATCGCTTACTACTGCACGTGGTACTTCAAATTGACTAAAGATGTTAGATTTTAGGAATTTGGAAACCGTGAGTGTGTCATCTTTTCTGGTAGAGATCATTTTAACCCATCGAGATAGGTAGTCTACAGCTAAGAAGATATAACTATAGCCCAACCATCATTTGCCCTTTATTATAACACAGAGAGAAGACATTTGTTGATCCTATTTATAAAATACAGAGAAAAATTTATTGTATAGATGTATAACTTTACCCTTTATTTATTATCGTGTTGACTTTATTTACAAGAGGTATTAAATGAGAGTTAATGAAGTTTAAAATTTTTCTTGATTTATATAAAATATATTGGAAGTAACTTATTATTGGAGGAGTAGCAAAAATCAAAGCATGATGTGTGTTAGAAGGACCAAACTATAAGGACTTCCAAACTAGTTTTCTCTATAATATTAAACAGAAAAGAAACTTTGGTTTGGCCAAAATCTTTTCCTATATATTAGTTAGTTCATTGAAATAACTTTTCTTGTACTTCTTACATGAGAAAATATTAGATAAAATTTGAAGTGCATTGTACAGTTCAAGGCTCATGAATACTGGTGCTTTCTATATTATATATTTGTAGATCTATAGATTTTTTAAGGAGAAGTTTCTCAATAATTAGCATGCAAATCATTTATTTTAAGTCAGTTGAGATATTTACTATGAAGAATATAACCTTACGATATTAAATTATTCCCGAAGCTCAAATAACCTTAATTTTCTACCTTTAACTTTGGCAACAACGTTATGATGTAACAAATCTTAAAATTGCATTGTAACCAGGAAATCCATCTTGTAACCTCCTTACGTTGCAATGTAAACCCTATCAAGGTTTATGGCCCAAAATCAGAAACAAGGTAATCACGACTGGGAAAAAATGAGAGACGAAATTAAGCAAGGTAATAACAATATAAAAGTGGCATTAATATTCTTAAAAGTAGCTTCTAACTCCCAAAAAAAAAACAAAGAAAGAAAAAGGGAACCCAGTTTATATGACATTATGAAAAAATATCTTTACCAGGAAAAAGCATTATGGAAAAAATAGTTGGGAATATTTTTCTTCATTCATCTCAAAATTGATATCTTTTCAGTTCTATGAATAATTTGAATTTCTGAATTCTCGTAAATACTTTGATATACTTCTGCATTAAGTGGTTTTTTCTACTTAAAGTTGGTTCAAGAAAAAAATTACTTTGATACAGTTACCAACTGATAACAACATAATGTTTTTCAAGATCTTGAATTTGAGCCTAATGGATGGAAAAAAATTATATTGCGAGGGTTCTCTTTTTCAATTAGAGTTAACCTGACTTCAAATTATATTAATTAGTATGCATTTGATATTACATGGTCTGTCAAAAAGAAAGACAGAAATAATTGGCTGTAATTTTTCTTAAATATTAATTCGCGGAGATATTTGAGATCCCAGATACTAAGAAGGGAATATTCGAACAAGAGAAATAAAAATTTTCAAGGAAAAAACATTTAATATGATTAAAAAGGATTTAATTGAGGGAGAACACAAACCTGCATGTTTTTGGATTTTAGGTCGACCAGCTTTAACAAAGACATCAAGATCAGCTTGACTGAAGGACAAAAGCCCTAGAGCGAGTCCAGATGTAATAGCAGCAAACACAGCTAAAACAAGACTCATCACAAGTAATATCCAGAAAGGTTCCTCACAACATGGATGCTCTGTAAGAGGCAAGTTACACGTTGTGGAACTCAATTTGACAGTTTGCACCTTTGACAGACAAGACAAGAAAGGTCTGAAGTTTGAACATTATTATTCTTTTGAGTGATTATTATATACAACAACAACAACAATAATAAAAAATACAACTGCAAGTGCAGTCCTCGTATTCTCATTGGTTGACATTAGAATGTGGGCATCACATTGTGTCTAGGTGACACGTTTTCAATCAAATTCTAATGGTGTTCTGTCTGTAATAAGGACCACAATGACATTAAGTATTAGAGGCTGGATATGACGACATACTCCCTGGAATGATATATAAGACACAAATAACAGAATTACGAGATAAATAAAACTAGTCAAAAGGAATAAATATGTCAAAAAATTGTATTTTATTCTCATAAAATACTTTTATTTATGTAGAGGTGAGTGATAGAGAGAATGATAAAATAGAAAAAAATGGTAATTAAAAGAAATGTGAGAAAACGCTAGCATAAAAGTTTTATACAAGAGTGATGGATGATATTATGATAATACTAACTTCGTGGACTGTATGGTCCTAGTCAACAAGGCTCTGGACAGATATACCTATCCGAGTTCTCTGAACTTACAAGCACAATCACGTAACAAGAAACTTATACAAATACTTGATGCTAGAGTGATGACAATGTTTTAATAAGTACACAATAAAAGTGCAATGCCACAATAGATAGACTTTTGGGCTTCCAAGTGAGCCACATTCATAATACAAATCACACAATACAGCACCAGACATTAAAACCCTTCGTTGAATGGCCTTTCAACAATTATTCATGGATTATACCAGACTACTCAGCAGAAACTAGACTCTAATAGATACATAGTCATATCACTTAGATACCCTTGTGTAAGTCTCATACACTAATTGTGCAGCAAGCATATCCACAAGAGCAGAGCCTACAGACTTAAATACAGTTATTTCCTCAGAATTTGTTCTCCCAACTTTGTCTCCTGCAGCTAACTCCACCAAATTTGCCACAATATCTTCCTCCTTAATCACTCCCCTCTCAAAAGCACCCACCAATTCTCCTGCTTCCATCATTGCAGCCTCATTGTCCACGAACACTCTTCCTCTCTTAATGGCCTCATCATCACATTCCTTCATCGAATGCTTGAATGAACCTACCAAATCCAAATGAGCTCCCACCTTCAACTTCTCACCCTTCACAAGAGCAACCTCCGAATTAGTTGCACAACTCACAATATCCCCAAGTCCAATGATCTCATCCAAAGATGCACTACTCTCAAAACTTACACCTTGAAGCATACCATCATCATTTTCTTGCATTTTCTTGGCCAATATTCTCGCCTTCTCCACTGTCCGATTCCAAATAACTACTTTCCTCAAACTTGGTATGGCCGAACGATGGGCTCTAATCAAATGGGGTGCCATAGCTCCCGCACCCACCATCACAAGGACTTGACTATTTGGTCTAGCCAGATATTTTGAAGCCAAACCAGAGACACATGAGGTTCGATAAAGGGTCAAATCAGTGGCATCCATGGATGCCAGGGGCTGCCCTGTGGTAGAACTGAAGAGAGCATAAGTTGCCTGCACGCCTGGTAAGTTAATTGCAGTGTTCTGAGGGAAATGGGTGACGAGCTTGATGCCTATGTAAGGGAAAGAAGGAGAAGATGACCAGGAGGGCATGAGGAGAAGAGAAGAAGAAGAAGAAACCTCGTAGCTTTGACGCATTGGGGACTGGATTGAGGTTGAAGTTTTGGGGAGATAAGATTGAAAGTGATTGATTAAAGTTTGATGGGTGAGGATGGAATGTAAGGTATCAGTGGATACGAAAACTGGAGAAGAAATTGGAACAAGTGATGCCATTGATGAAACTGGAAATGGTTGTAGGATTTTGGTTTTGAAAGATTTGTGAATGTGAATTCAAGTATCAAATATTTGGTTGAGATGGGAGAAAACTAACGAAATTGGTAAATTCAACCTTAAAAATGAAAGATTTGGATCAAACCCAAATCTTCTGTTTCAGATGGTATTTCCCAATTTGCACTACAGAATCCCAAGCATCTACTGAGTCAACTCTGTTTCTGGTCGCGTCCCTCAATCCAAACTAACAAATATATATATATATATATCTTCTTATTATATGTATAACATACAAACATAATACAGACACGCATATATGCATTTGACTAGTGAATCAATAATGTATTTGGAGTCAACATTGTAAAGATCACAAAACAAATTGTAAATATGTAGATTGAGACTGAACCAAATTGAGCTTGCAGATCGAAGAGAAGTTGAAAGGATGTGACACCATAAACAAATAAACAAACACAAACATGCATAAAGCCCATTTGAGCAATAAAGTTGACTTGACCAAGAACCCTGAAAATATCTATGAACTAGTATTATCGAATTTACCTAAATATTACTTTAGCTTAATGATTCAACACTTTCAATTCGCTCATATTTTAAAGGGTTTTGATTTAGTATATATATCAATCTGGTCACAGTATTTGCAAATGAGCTGATATATGTTCATCTTGGGATTTAGCAAAGAGCTTATTATTGATCATGGACCCAAGGGAGACACCTAGGATCAACAAGTTTGAACTCATGGATACTTGAAATAATGACTTCCAATAATGGACCGCCTTACTGGGAATTGATAATTGAAGAAAAAGTTAAGTGATATGTGTAGTAATAATATCAGTCTTAGTTCTAGATGAAGCGGAATTGAATTTTCTATAGCTACAGCTCAATATTTGTCAATAAAAAGGGACCATGTATAAGAGAAAGCATACTAGGAAAACGGGGGTGGACAGATTACAAGTAATCTGCTAGGATCACAAAACGAATTGCAAAACTTTGGTTACTTGACAAATGGATGCTTCTCTAATCACCTGAGGGCACAAGTCAAAGGCCGTAGGATTCACTTTCAACAAGGTATAATTAACCACGCAAATCACTTCAGAATGAATGACGATTAATTTAGAAGTACCCATTGGTGAATGTTTAGCTATCAACCGAGGAAGAAGATAAGAGTGGGCTGAAGAAGATCTGAAGAAGATTCTAAGTTCCTAACACCTAGAAAGGAGGGTTGACATTTATCGACCCCACAACCACAAGCATGTCTGATTCATTATAAGTGCTTAGCTAATGAACACAAGGATCGGAATATCATATGGAACAGTACAAATTAAACAGATAACCAGTTGGCCATGAATGAGTACAGTATTATAGAAAACCCCACAAATCCACGTTTCATAAAGCTCGCGGGCCCAATTAATTAGCCTCGTTTTTACGCTTTACATCAAGGTATTAGTTCTCCTTTCGTTTTTGACATTACTCAACAAGGATGAAAGGGAAGACGAACAATATATTGACAATATACAATCTAAAACCAAAAGGGAGACGAACCTGCGAGGAACTCAGACAAAACACTAAGGGAAGGAAGAGAGACGAACCCAGAGGAGACGGAGACAGACGACACCGGACGACGAGGCTAGACTTGACGGAGAAGAAGCCAGACGAGATGAGACGCGGAGGGCAGAGATGGAGACGGCGGCTTGCGGAAAGATGGGGCTTGCAATTTCCTTTGACAAGGTTAGAAGGGCAACGCCGTGATATTAAAAAAATACTACCTGCCGTGTAATTAATATAAAGGGAAAATGACAACAAAATACCACCTGAATTTCAAAAAGACAAATAAGGCACCTGAATAAGCAAAATAACATATAGGGGATTGGGTACCAATCTGGAATTCAGATTTTTGGCCAAAAGACCAAAATGCCCTGTCTGAAAGTGAGAGAAAGGAGAGAGGAAGACCGACGCTGATGAAATGCGGGAAGAAGGAAAGAAGAATGTTGGAAATACTATTATCTTACTCCTTCGCATCACCATTCTGTAGAGATTGTTGATTTGGTGGGTTTTAGTTGTGGGAAAGAGGATTTGTAGTGAGAGAGGGAGTGAACCTGTGGGAAAGATGAAGCGGAAATCAGAAAACAATGGCAAGCAATTACGTAACATAACTGCTGTCATATGCCTGCTGGTTTTTGGTAAATCTCATTACGTGAATGGTAAATTTTACTATACATGTAGTTAATTATGAATTTTATAAAATACATATTGTGATTTACAATTTTTGTAGTGAAAGTGACTACTTTGTTAATGGATTTTGCAACCTGTTTTCAGGAGATAAACAACTTGTTTGTAAAAACTAATAAAATTTCACGCTAAATTTGACAAAACGTATAATGAGATTTACAACTTCCGTAGTGAAAATGACCACTTATTCAATGGGTTTTGCAACTTGTTTTCAGGGGATGGGCAGTTTGTTTCTAAAAACTAATAAAATTTCATACTAAATTTGACAAAACACATAGTGAGATTTATAACTTTAGTAGTGAAAATGATCACTTCTTCAATGGGTTTTGTAACATGTTTTTAAGGGATTGGCAACTTGTTTCTAAAAACCAATAAAATTCCATACTGAATTTTACAAAACATAGAGTGATATTTACAACTTTTGTAGTGAAAATCACCACTTATTAAATGAGTTTTGCAACCTCTTTTCAGGGGATGAGCAACTTGTTTCTAAAAATCAATAAAATTTCACGCTGAATTTTACAAAACACACAATGATATTTATAACTTTTATAGTGAAAATGACCACTTCTTAAATGGCTTTTGCAACCAGTTTTCAGGGGATGGGTAACTTGTTTCTAAAAACCAATAAAATTTCACGTTGAATTTTACAAAACATATACTGGGATTTACAACTTTTATAGTAAAAGTGACCACTTTGTTAATAGGTTTTGCAACATATTTTTGGAGGATGAGTAACTTACTTTTCACCACCAATAAAATTTCACACTGAATTTTACAAAACACATAATGTGATTCACAACTTTTATAGTGAAAGTGACTACTTCTTTAATGGGTTTTGTAAACTTGTTTTCACCGGAAAGGCAACTTATAAGCATAAATAAATCATTCAGTGAACATGTACCTGAAGTACGTCACAATAAACATTGAACTATAAACTTTCATAATTAACTACATGTATAGTAAAATTTACCATTCACGCAATGGGATTTACCAAAAACCAGCAGGCATATGACAGCAGTTACGTTACGTAATTGCTTGCCATTGTTTTCTGATTTCTACTTCATCTTTCCCACAGGTTCACTCCCTCTCTCACTACAAATCTTCTTTCCCACAACCAAAACCCACCAAATCAACAATCTCTACAGAATGGTGATGCGAAGGAGTAAGATAATAGCATTTCCAATATTCTTCTTTCCTTCTTCCCGCATTTCATCAGCGTCGGTCTTCCTCTCTCCTTTCTCTCACTGCGTCGGTCTTCCTCTCTCCTTTCTCTCACTTTCAGACAAGGTATTTTGGTCTTTTGGCCGAAAATATGAATTCCAGATTGGATACCCAGTGCCCTATTTGTCATTTTGCTTATTCAAGTGCCTTATTTGTCTTTTTAGAATTCAAGTGGTATTTTATTGTCATTTTCCCTAATATAAAACCTTATTTGTTTTTTATTATGATTCTAAATATAAAATTTTAATTATCTTTATTTCTCATATTTATATATTTTTTCTCTTGGTAGTCCTCCTAATAATGGTAGTTCTAACCAATACACTTAATTAGCAAGGATATTTTAAAAAAGATAATATTTATTTATTACAAATAACTAATTTAACTTATTTCTTTAGTTTTCTTAAATTAGTCAACTAGTTCTTATAATTAGAACCGGAAATAATCATATGTACATATAAGTGGAAACAAGCCAAAAATATTACCCTTTCCTCTCAAATCCCTATTTTTAACAGAAAAGGAAGCAAAATCCCTCCGGTTCTGTCTTTTTTTTTTTTTTTTTTTAATTCCTCCCTGCTCCTTTCCCCTCATACCAAACAGGCCCAAGAGGCAATTTGTAATTTTCTTTTTTTTCGGTAACACGAGGCAAGTTGTATACTGAGAAACTCAATTTAGTAGATTGCCCGTTTGACAGACAAAATAAAATCCAAAAAAAATTATAAAATAAGTCTCAAAAATTATTATTTTTTATTTTGAAATTTGTTATTACAGATTGATTAAGTTATTATTTGGACTTTTTAATAATTATTCTGGTTGTAATTTTCCTAAATAAGAAAGGTATAAAGTTTGAATATTATTATTCTTTTAAGTTATTATTATATACAATAATAATAGACAATTGTACGTGAAGTACTCGTATTCTCATTGGCTGATGTTAGACAGTGGGCATCAAGTATACATGTCCATTAATATAATAAGAAAGTGATTTTGCTGGTAAAAAAAAAAAAAATAAGAAAGTGATTTTCACAATGTGATCTAGAAGTTCATCAAGTGATGCAACAACGAAGGAAATAAATGCGTTAAATTTTTTAATCATTTTTTAAAATAAGAGTAAAATACATCGATCATCTTTTTATTTTATCTCAATTATAGAATAAACCTCTCTTACAGTTAAAACATATGTTACATAAACCTCTCTTTTATATTTAAGATTTTATTTTCATCCACCCAAACAGTTAGTTAACTATTAAATTTGACTTTAAATTAGTTTTTTTGGCCAAAATACCCCTTTTTAACTTAATAATTATTTAGACATTTATATTTTTCAAAAACTGTTTTTATAAAATAAAAAATAATTATTTTTAAAATTTCTAATATGTTATAAAATTTATTAATTTTGATCTAAATCATAAAATTTTATAATTTTAATATTTTATCAGATTCATTAGAAATTATTTACTTTGATTTTTTTAAATTATAAAAGTATATTTCAAATACATAGTTTTTGTTTATCATAAAATTTAAATGATATACATTTAAAATTTTTTATAAATTCTTTAAATTTATAATTCAAAACTTTTAAACACATCTTTGTTACAAAAATTTATAAACATATTTAGTCAAGTATATATATTTATTAAAAAATTTGTTAAATTTTTAATCTAATCTTCGATGTTTATCTTAACTAAATAAAATTGGTATAACTGTAAAAATATAATTTAGAAATTTATTAAAATGAGGGATAAAATAGTAAATAAAATTTATTTTAATATAAATTTCAGTTAAAATAATATTTTTAGAATCTTTTTAGAATATTCCTAACGGTGTTAAATAATTGGATGAAACTATATATTTTTAAAATAGACGGGATGTCTTTATAATTGATGCAAACTAGAAGGATAGTGAGAGTATTTTACTCTTTAAATAATGTACACTCTTTTTTGCAATTTAATAAATCATATAATATTTATTTATTAACTTTCCATTTCAGTTTCTCCATTTTTTTAAAAAATATTTTCATTTGACTTGATTTTTTGAGATTTCTGGGGTTAGGAAGTTTAAAATAAATGATATAATATGTTTTAGTTATTCTTTTTGCGAATAAAAGACCCATGTACACTCTTTTTTCCGATCTATTAATATAATAAGGAAGGAGTCTCAACAAGACTATCTGGAAGTTCGCCAAATAGCGCAATGAGGGAGGAGATAAATGGATTAATTTTTTTAATCGTTTCTTAAATAATGTATCCTCTATTTTGAAATTTAATAAATCATATAATATTTGTTTGTTAACTGCCCATTTCAGTTTTCCCACATTTTTTTAGAAATATTTCAATTTGACTAGGTTTTTTTTTTATAGATTTGTGGTTGTTGGACAATTTTTTAAAAAAAAGATATATTGTTTTTTTTGAGCGAATAATATATTATCGTTATTATTTTTTTTAAGGTGAGAACCATGTTAGTTCTGAACTAATCCTTAAATAATGTATCCTCTCTTTTACAAATTGGTTAGTCAGATAATATTCACTAACTGCATTTTTTAAATAAATGATTATTTAGTTGGTTATTTGGGGTCTGTGTGGGGAATATAAAATAAAAAAAACTGAAAATAACATGAATTTTAATTTCCTAATGAACTTATATCAAGTTGCTTTGCATTTAAAATTTAAAATGATTTTAATTCAGATGTTTATATTAAAAATTAGGATTAATTCAAATTTATTCAAATTTATTTTAAATTTGACTCATGTTGGTCTTTATACTTTAGGTTGGATGTTTGGGTTTGAATCTGCTCTTGATGGGCCAGATTATTTGATTAGATATTAAAATAATATTTCAATCAAATGTCAAAGTAAGATTGTGATATGTTTGACTTAGTCAAACAATTTGAATTAAATCCAATTGATTACGATGTAAATTAAATTAATTGACATTATCCAAATTAAATATATATTAGAGATATATATTTAGAGTTAATTTAGATTAATTCTAGATTTAAATTTAAATTCATAATCTTATCAACTACGAGATATTTGAATATCTGAATTCAAATTCAAATTGATAGATTTAGTGGATATTTTGCCTTTCCAAAATACCTCTAGCTAAAATTATAAATGGAAGCCTCCATTCATCAGTTTAACTCACCCCAGTAGTTGAGTTTTCCTACTCTCTCTCTCTCTCTCTTTAATATTCTCTCTTGTGTGTTGCTTTGCTGTGTCACTCAAGTTTAGGTTCTAGTAATCTAAACTTTACAGGAATATCGATAGATTAAG